TCCTCCTCCTCCCCCTGCTCCTCCACCTATTCCTCCTCCAATTCCTCCAGTACCTGATCCTCCTCCAACTCCTCCGCCACCAGATCCACCTCCTGGTCCAAATCCAGTTCCTCCCCCAATTCCTCCAATACCGGATCCTCCTCCAATTCCTCCGCCACCAGATCCACCTCCTGGTCCAAATCCGATTCCTCCTCCATTTCCTCCACCACCGGATCCACCTCCTGGTATGATTCCTCCACCTCCTGGTGTTGTTCCTCCTCCTCCTGGTATTACTCCTGGTCTTATTGTTATTGTTCCTCCGCTTTCTCCAGCACCATGTCTACCTCTTGGCAATCCACCTGATTCTCCACCATGTCTAATTATTACAGTTCCTCCGTTTCCTCCTGTACCGGATCCACCTCCTGGTATTGCTCCTTGTCCACCACCTGGCATTCCTCCACCTCCTGGTCTAACTATTACGCCTCCTCCATTTCCGCCTCCTCCTGGTCTAACTATCATGCCTCCTCCTCCATTTCCGCCTCCTCCTGGTACTACTGGTCTTACTCCTGGTGTTACTGGTCTAACTGGTGTTGCTGGTCTTACTCCTGGTGCAACGGGTCTGGGTACCGGTGTTACTATTTTGGGCGGTATAATTGGTCTTGGTACAGGACGTCCTCCAACGGGTCTTGGGAGAGGGACAGAACCTCTGAAAAAATTGGCCTCTCTCCATTGATTTTTATTCGGATTACTAGTTAATCAAGCAAGTAAGGATGAAAAACACTATTTTCTGCCTGCAAATTTGAAGGACAACTATTGAACTCGTATTACAAAAAACACAAATGACGGAAAATGCACGAGAGAAAATCTTCCAAAGTACGGTATTTTTTACAATTTCGCACAGCAAAATCATAACAACCGGTTAAGTTTGGGAAGAATTGTTCACGTCACAGAAGACACCCTTGTCAAGGCAAAATTTTTGATTGAGCAATATTTTTTTAAAAGATGGTCATGACACCAAATTATTTTTCAAAATCTTTAGGAAAGTTAGAAGCTACATCAGAATAGCACACAATTTGTTATATCAGTTCAATGGAGACAGTGATTAAGTAAAAGCGGTGAGGATATATGTGAAAATCGGACATCAAATGTTTGCGAATGTACTAATTCAAAACGTTGTGTTTATGAAGGCAGTGGTTTTCAGAAACATGAGTCTAATTCTTTCCTATAAGAAATTAGCTCAAAGCAATCCCATTTACTCCAAAAGTGTAGACGTATGGCAGTTTGGTCTTAGTCTTGTCCTAAATACACATAAACCGATATGAATTTCAGAAGAGAAAATATTCGAGGTCTGACTTTGGGAACATCCTAGTCTCTCTGTCCCTAATGGACCTTAGCTAGGATATGATAGCTTTGATATAGAAAGTATGAAATAGACCTCACCACTTGACTACAGCAAAATTACGGTAGAGATTACCAGAAAACTTTGTACCCATATAAAAAGAAAATTTTGTTTAGATTAAAGAAATATTGCCAAGTCAACTAATGTCTCTGATTTTGAATATTATTACACTCACCGATAGATCTTTTGAAGGTTATGGTAAGTGTACCGAAAGCATGCAAATTTCCTCTTCTTCAGAGAATATTTGGCATGAAACTTCTTGGCTAGCTGGAGTAAAAACAATGAGAAATTTGACTCATGA